CTCTCTTTCTTCTAGAATATAAACTCAATGAGCTAAACCTCAATGTATTATTTACTGTTGTATCTCCAACATCTAGAAGTCTAGTGTTTAATAACTGCTAAAAATATTATATGAATGGATGAAGGAACTAACCAAAAAGAGGTTCCTCTTTCTTCCAAATCAGAATGTACCAAGCTGTGAATTTCGCATACTGGCTGGACAATATTGGGGAAAAGTATGTCAGAATTCTGCCTGTTTCAGTTCAAATCAATTCAGTCCAGCACAAACTTATCGAATTCCTATTATGCACCAGGCAGTGAACCTCACACTCAGGATTCAGCAGAGAAAAGTCAAAATTCTACCCTCCTGCCACTTAGAGTCTGGCAAAGAAATTAGATAACTTAACAGCAATTATCAAAGTAATCGAACAGTACTTCATGCCACACAGAATTCTAAACACTTCAGTGAGTTATCTCATGTAATCTTCACAAACCCTATATGTTAGGAGTGATAATTATCCCTGAAGAAAAGGGCATGTATCTCATCTGTCTTGTTTACTATTGGTTCTTTAGCACCATGTACAGTACCTGACACAAATAGATGCTCAATAAATATGTTCAGTAATGAATGAGTGCTTTGAAAGGAAAGGATGGTATTTGAGAGTCTGTAGCAGGATTTGACCCAGTCTGAGGCATTAAGAAGCCTCTCCCTGAAGATGTGACATTTTATTTAAGACTTGAAGAATGAATAGGAATTTGCTTCGCTTTGGCTAGAAAGTGAAAACTAGCCATGCTCATCCTGACTGATCTTAAATAAGCTAATTTTTGTTTTCTTGGGATTTGCTTTCCTTCTGAGCAAAATGAAAAACTGTAATGATGAAACATAACCCAGAGGAGGTTGTAAGGACATGTGAAAAGAGAATGCTCAGGGTAATTTTCCCAGAAGAAGCGGGCTTCAGGGTAGGGTGGGCAACAGGCATGGCACAGCAGGCTGTCGGGAGGCCCCAAGGCGAGGGCTCCAGCTGGGGCTTTGCCACACCGAAGCAAATGCTTCTGATCTCCTGGGAGGTGGTCTCGAGAAAAGCGTGAACAGCCCAGTCCATAGTGCAGCACTCAACAGTCTCCCAGTTAATTGCTTTTTTTCTGCAACTGGATGTCAGAACCTGGCATGTGAAAATCATCTGGGGCATTTCTTGTCTCTAAGCTCTGTTCTGCCAGACTCCAGGGCCCTTCTCACATGGCACCTAAAATGGGTCACCTTTATCTTTCCCTCCTCCTGGGCTCCTGGTTTCCCTTTCAGAGATCACTCTGTGCTCTTGGGCCCTCCCTGCAGGCACCTCTGCCAATGCCTTTGAGCCTCCCGTCTCCTTGTCTCCTTAGAAAGACCCTTCCTCTCTTGGTAGTCCAGCTCTCATCTGAGATGACATTTGCTGTATCAGAGTCTCATTCCGCTGATGGGGTTAATGACTGCTAACTGTTCATTCACTGTGGCTCCCACTAAGATAATTGCCTTTTAACAGGCGCTTTTTGTAAATAATGCCTAATGTCCAAGACTGGATCTCTAATACTGACTTTTTGAGGCTCTGTAATCCCAAAGAATATTTTCAGACCCCTTCCTTCCATCATAACCCCTATGATGTTGTAATGTAATAGTTTATTCATCCTTTTTTTTTCCTCGAAAATGCACTCCTTTAGAGCAGGAGTCAGTAAATCACTCCATCACTCACTAATGCCTAGTATAACATCTGGGTGCCAACAAAATGTTGGACCAAAGCAGTGAGACACATGATTTGGGACAAGAGTATTTGAAAAACTTTCTGTAACCCTTACCTTTCAAGCCAAATCATGAAATGAAATACCTCACTCCAGAGGTTCTCAAACTCAAGTAAGAATCACCTGGCATATGTAATATGCAGGTTCCCTGTCTGTCCTCAGGGAGTCTGAATCAGGGTACCTGGTGGCTCAGTTGGTTAAGCGCCTTCAGCTCAGGTCATGATCCCAGGATCCTGGGATCGAGTCCCTCATTGGGCTCCCTGCTCAGCGGGGAGTCTGCTTCTCCCTCTGTCCCTCCCCTGTTCATTCTCTCTCTCTCTCTCTCTCAAAAATAAATAAAATCTTTAAAAAAAAGAGAGAGAGAGAGTCTGAATTCATAGGATTGTTGGCTCTGAAATCTGCAAATTCACTAAGTGAGGCTGGTATAAAAATGCTAGATCTCCTCGGGGGCTATTTGTCTTTGGATAAATGATTATATCCTCTTAGACTGTTTTCCCTTCTGTAAAATGGGATGGTTTAGAGAATCAAAGGGAAAAAAAGATACAGAAGCACACTGAAACACTTGAAATGGTGGAGCGCAAACCAACTGCATCAGGATCATTTGATTGAGGAGATTTCACATTAGTTCTTTCTGCCCCTTGCCCATTCTACATCTGGGTGAGTGGGGTGCAGAGGTCTGGCACAAAATCAGTAATTTTAAAATGGGATTGGAAAAGATGCTTTCAATTGAGATCAAGAGGTACTAGCTGGTTTGGAGTGGCCAGTTTGGAACTTAGGTGCCAGCCTCACTGATCTTTTGTTTCTAATGAAGGAGACAGGCTTTTTTTTTTTTTTTTTTTTTTTTAGGGGGGTTTGCTTAGTTCTTTCACTTTAATTATGGACAGCATAATCCGTGAATGTTTTTTTCACTCAGGAAGTATTTACTAAGTGCCTGCTATTGACTCAGAAGGTATATACTAAATGCCTACTGTTTATTTAAAACTAAATTATGCCAAGGGGAAGCATGTCTACTCATGAATTCCATAATATATTTGCCTGAGTAATATATTCCAGCTTTAAAATGGGCTGAAATTCATTTGTGCTGTGAAAAACCTCCCACAAACAAATACCATATGATTCCATTCATATGTAGAATCTAAAGAACAACTGAACAAATCAAAACAAACAAAATACCAAACAGAATCTTGAAAGCAGAGAGCAAACTGATGGTTGCCAGAGAGGAAGTGGGTGGGGAGATGGGGGAAATAGATATGGCGCATTGAGAGGTACAAATTTCAAGTTATAAAATAAGTAAGTCATAACAATTAAAAGAACAGCAGAAGAAATATAGTCAATAATATTGTAATAACATTATCTGATGACAGATGGTGACTATATTTATCATGAAGAGAAGATTGTTTGTCTCTTTCTGACTTGTTTCACTTAGCATAATACCCTCTAGGTCCATCCATATTGTTGCACGTGGCAAGATCTCATTCTTTTTTATGGCTGAGTAATATTCCATTCCATTTCAGATATATATATATCTTCCACATCTTGTTTATCTGTTCATCTCTTGATGGGCACTGGGTTGTTTCCATATCTTGGCTATTGGAAATAATGCTGCAACAAACAGAAATGCATATATTATTTTGATTTAGTGTTTTCGTTTTCTTTAGGGAAATGCCCAGTGGTGGGATTATGGAATCGTAAGGTATTTCTATTTTTAATGTTTTGAGGAAGCTCTGTATTGTTTTCCACAATGGTTGCGCCAGTTTACACTCCCATCAACAGTGTAACAGGGTGTCCTTTTTCTCCACATCCTCACCAGTACTTGTTGTTTCTTCTTTTTGATAACAGCCATCGGGACAGGTGTGAGGTTGTATCTCACTGCGGTTTTGATTCTCATTTCTCTGCTGATTGGTGATGTTAACATCTTTTCATGTGTCTGTTAGCCATCTGGATGGGTTTGTTTCTGGGATGTCCATCCTGTTCCATTGATCTATAGGTCTATTTTTGTGCTGTTGCCATACTGTTTTGATTACTTTGGCTTTGTAGTATAGTTTGAAATCTGTAATTATGATACCTCCAGCTTTTTTTTTTCTTTCTCAAGATTGCTTTGGCTATTTGAGGTCTCTTGTGGTTCTTTATAAATTTTAGGATTATTTGTTCTAGTTCTGTGAAAAATACTATTGGTATTTTGATGGGGATTGCATTAAATCTGTGGATGGCTTTGGGTAGTATGGACACTTTAACTACATTAATTCTTACAATCCATGAGCATGGTATGTCTTTCCATTTGTTGGTGTTGCTTCAATTTCTTTTACCAGTGTCTTATAGTTTTTGGAGTGCAGATCTCTCACCTCCTTGTTGAATTTATTCCTAGGTATTTAATCCTTCCTAGTGCAATTGGAGGAAGACATTTTATATTTTTATATTAAATCTTATTTTAAAATTTTATTTTAAATCTTATTTTTAAATAAGGGGATATCTGGTTTTCTTTTATAGACTGTTACATTATTTCCTTGTGCCTCCGAATGTAGCACAAAGGACATTCACCTTTTCTCTAGCATAGACAACAGTGTCTTTGGCAGAACTTATAAATCCCAAACCAATACCTTGTGCTTGCCTTCCAGTGATAAGGTTTCCAAAATCATTATTATTTCATGGGTCAAAACTAAACCAGGACCCCATCCAAATTTATGCGGTAGTTGGACCTGTCCTCAATGAGGGGTAGTCTCATTCCCTCCCTTCCTCTTGTGAAATCTGAGTGTTTTGGTAAAGTCATTTAATTCTTAGATCAACTTACTTTTTCCATGCCATTGGGGTACACCAGTCGGTGAAGGGTCAGTTTCCTTGGGCTTAGTCTCCATTCTTGTGTTGTGGCTTTAAATTTGCACAGCAAATAACTCAGAGCCAGGTTACTGCCTTTGTGTGAGGTCTGGCAGGAAAAAAAGACTGTAGTGGAGCACAGAATTTGTCTGTGTTAGCCCTCTGTCACCGGCTACTCACCCCAGCATTGGGCTTCACCTAAATGATAAATGGTCCTATTGTTTGGGCTTTCGTCTTAAAAAAACATAGAGCTAAATCTAGATGAAGCAAGGACAGAGACCCATTTCATTGCACTGTACTTTAATATTCCTGAGACCCATGGCATTACGGGTGGCTCTTTTAACAGCCATCTCTCTCCAGGGTGGAACACTGTGCTGTCTTTGTTTCATCTGATCTTCCAGCTAAATAAGAGATGGTCACTTATCCTCAGTGCTCCCCTATCCTGCTGGATTTCTCTTGCTAGAGGAGAAACTGACCACACGGGAAAAGGTAGAGGTTTCAGGCAGGGCATTTCAGCGTGTGTTTACAGGCAGGACTGACTTACTCAGCAAATCCTGCTCCGAGAAGCTGCAGCCAATGAAGAGGCTATATCCCGGCTTGCTTGGGGGCTTCTGAGTTTGAGCTGCATGCAGAAATGTAAGGCAGTGCTTCCTGGTGCTGATGGCAAAATGGGACCCATCTCCAGTTATTCCTCGGGCTTCCCAGCTTTGCAGATCCAGGGGAGAACCTACATAAACATACTGGTGATGTAGCCAGCTTTAAAGGCCAAGAGAATCCTTATGGATTCAGGAGACTGGTTTTTTATTTAGATTTTTATTTTTTATTTTTGTTGGAAGATGAAATGCTTCTCTCGTTACCTGCCTTACATCTTCAGACCTCCGAATACCATCCTCTCTTCCAGCTGCCACACGGAAGGTACAGACCAGAGAGGGAGAGTGTCTGGGTGGGTGGGAAAAAGTGGGCTGGTGTATGACTTCCCACAGGTTCTGCTGATATGCTTTCTGTAGCTAGCAGATGACTGTCGTTCCTGGCAAAAGCTTGTATCTAACAGACTTAGATCTGCTTCTAAAATCAGTCTGTCTTGTGTAAGGAAAGGGAAGTGTTTTCTAAAGAGCAGGATAATGTTGCAAAGGTGATCTCAAAGCCGATCTAGCCGAGTCAAAAAACAATCAAATATTTTGCCAGTTTCCCCTCACTCTACTTCACAAGCAAACAAGTACTTAGAACTCCTGTTAAGGAAGAACATTTTCAGTAGGTGCTGTCACATACATTTATCCAAGCTCTCTGTTTTGTCATTGTCTGTTCAATAACTTGGTGCATGCCCAAGAAAGCAATTAGCAAAATAGAATTAGCGTACTACGGGACTGTGGAGTGTCAGTTGTCGGATTGCTTTGCTCAGAGTCTGGACTTGGGTTGCAGAGCAGGAAGACACAGCTGACTTTAAGCGCTTGCTGGAAGTGGGGTTTGTGGGGGTCCTAAGTTAATGCGTTACGGCGAGGGTGAGCTGAGCCTTGTACAAACAGTCCCCAGTTCCCGGTCCTTTTGGGAACCTCCTCTGCCACCTTCTAACCTAGCATGCTCTGCATGTGTGTGTGTGTGTGTGTGCGCACTTTCAGTGTGCACGTGTGTGCGTGTGCCTTGTCAACATTCTGGCAATCTGCCTTCATCTAAGCACTGCAGGTTTCAACGTTTCTGGAGAGAGTAGCTGGTTGTGCGTATTCTGTGTGTCATTTGCCTGTTTCTTTTGATCTGCCACATCCTTGAAAAAGAGCAGTTGCAAGAAAAGCAACTGGCTGGCTGCTTTTCAGCCTGAGGGTTACCCCACCAACAGTACTGATTGAAGAGGGCTAGGGTAGCCACACTCTCTGGAATGGAGCTGGTGAGCAGCCTGTTGTGAAAATCCACCCTTCTTTCTCATCCTCGGAGTAGGAGCTGGGCATTGGGGGCTGTGCAGAGAAAACGAGAGAAGTATTTATTATACCATGAGATGATTTTTAGTCATTACCCCCAGGAAAAGCAAGTAGAAGTTTGGGATCACTCTTGAATTGAGACCAAGGATGGTATTTTTCACAGAACTTGGTATCTTAAGGATTTTTTTTCAATTAGATATTTCCTTTAAAAATTTTATTGGTGGTTACAGGAAATGACCCACTGAGTAATCTTTCCTCTTATAGAGAGAAACTTACTAAGTCTCTATGTATATTGGGGAGGGATGGGGGTGGCATGGATAGAAATCTCCAGGGGAACTTTCCATATACAGAAGATCTAAACTCATATAGGAAGATGCCAAATGACTTTTCTCTTTCTGATTGGTCCCCTGTCCTCTCCTCCTAGCTTAGATTTTGAGAACCCAAACACCTGGTCTATTCTGTTGCTGTTTTGTATATTAATCAAACTAAAGACCCTACCTCATACAAACTACCACCACCAAGAACTTTCTTGAACTGTTTTTTAACCAAATTTACTGTTGTATTCCATCAAAATGGAAAGCCCATTTTACTGCTATCAAAACAATTTCTAATTTGTCAACTATCACCAGGTTTAGGGGGTGGGGGGTGAAGAGATTTGTCTTTCAGTCTGTTGTGAGACTAATAGACAGTGGGTATGGATAATAGCATGTGGCAGACATTAACTTCGTGAGTGGGGGGTTGAAGTTGAGTGGGGAAGTCAGGAGTTAAATACCAAGCAGGCAGGGCCAAGTCACTTAATTGTTCTATGCTCAATTTTACCTATAAAATGGAAATTAAAAGACTCATTCCCAGGATGTTGAGAATTCAATGTGATCATTCCAGTTCTTTAGGAAGCTTGATACATGATAGGTGCTGTCCGTTTTGCAGTCTCATGTACTTTCTTAGATAGTCAAATTTTCCTTTTTTCTTACATTATCTTAAGTAATGAATGGTTTCCTCAAATATGTCACAGTGTCACTCAGAACTAGTTACACTTACTTAGAGTTTGAGGAGAAACCTATGTGAGAATGAATCTGAGTTTGAGTTTTTATGTTGTTAGCTCTTATGTCACCCTGTAGTCTCTTATAGAAAAATTATGTCTGGGAACTTCATATTTTATTTAATTGAAGAGGCAGAGAATGAACAATTGGTGTATATCCCTGTAAAAATCAAATAAGTAGAAATACCCAAACCATCCTTTTAAGAGTAATTCAAGAACAACTTTGAAAGCTTCAACAATTGCTGGGGCACCTGGGTGGCTCAGTTGCTTGAGCATCTAACCCTTGATTTCGGCTCAGGTCGTCACCTCCTCGGTGGTGGGGATTGAGCCCCATGTCTGGGTTCTGCACTCAGCGTGGGGTCTGCTTGAGATTCTCTCTCCCTGTCCCTCTGTCCCTCCCCCTGCTCACGTGATCACGCTCTCTCTCTCTCTCTCTCTCAAATAAATAAATGAATAAAATCTTTAAAAAGAAAAAAGGCTTCAACAATTGCTGGGCTTCTTAGAGGATAGAACCATTCTACTTAAAAGACATGTTTTCCTCCCAGCTTATCTTGACATTGTTTTCTCAACAGAGGAAGATCATAGGCTTTGAATTTTAGCTCTGCCACTTGCCAACTGGGTGATGTTGGGTAGTTATTTAACCTCTTAGAGTCTTAGTTTCTTCATTTGTAAGACATAGATGATGATACGCCATAGGGTGGCTGCAAAGAAATACATTCAGAATGCCACACACAGGGTGATAATCATAGTAGCAGTAATAATAATAATATAATAATAATAATAAATTCGTCTTCACTTGTATTGCACTACTGTGTCCCAGACATTATCTGAGCGCATGATGTAGTAACACATTCATAGGTAGGGTAAATCAACAATATGTGGTCCACAATAATAGTTGTTTTTCCTTCCTGCTCTCACTTTCAACCTTCAAGCCTGTTTTTTCATCCATCAGATTGAGGTTTGGTTCTTTCTATTGCAGTCAAAATATTTTTTTAGAAATATGATCATATTCCTTCCCTCAAACCCCCTCAAACACAAACATGCTTGCATTGAAAACCCCTCAATGGCTTCCCGTGCTCTAGCAGGCCCTGTGTGTTCTGACCCTTGCCTGACTTTCCTGTCTGACCCTGAGTGCACGCCATCTCGCCTGGTCTCCAGCCACACGGGCCGTTCTTGGTTCCTCAGGAATCTTCCTCCCACCATAGACTTTGGGAAGCTTCTCTCTCCCCTTAGCCCCATTCCTTGTTAATTCTGGCCTTGGATTCTCAGCTCAAGCCGAGAAGCCATCCCTGGCCCTCAGGTGATCATGGTCATAGCTCTTAGAGAACCAGGCTGCTTTAGAGCACCTGCTGTAGTCTGTCATCATGAATGGCCTGGTGAAACTGTTTTGTGAATGTCTGTCTGCCTGCTAGACTGAAAGCTTCAGGGGAGCAGGACCCACATGTAGTTTTGCCCTCTATTATACCCCCAGCACTAGAACAATACCAGGTACTTAATAGGCAGTCAACAAATTTTTATTGAATGAAATGATGACAAATACCAAGGCTGTTGTGTAGACACATTTTTTAAAACACAGGCAAAACACGTCCTGCAAAGCATTAGCTGCTACAGGAATGCAAGCTCTTTTAACCATTGCCGGTTGGGTAGCTTTTTGTAGCCACACTTGAGGGGACTGGTTTTATGACCATGCTCTACTTTAACTTGAAATTAGAAGATATGAAGGGGGGAAAGGTCGACTAAATAATGCTGGCACACAAACAGGGCTTTGAGAGGACAGTTGGATTGTCTTTCCTTCTCTGTGGACATCATTAAAAGGACATATAACTCCCTCCACCACGGTGGGGAAGCATTCATCCAGCGAAATGATTCCAGGATTCGAGGCACAGACTCTCAATCACAAGCAAAAAGAAACCATTCCAGACAGGACAGAGCAGAAGGGGAGACACACGGGGATAAGAGAGCCAGTCAAGTATGAGGAACCTTGCCTGCTCTTTTCCAGTGGGCCTAATTTGGCACCCGACACAGGAAGGTCTTCTCTGGGCTCTTGAACAGATGAGCAGAGGCACTCTGTCTTCCTGAAGGGGTAAGGGTCTTGTGCCTTGCCCCGAGCCATTTCCTTTCCCTCAGTGGTCTCCGTCATGCTTCCATGCTGCAAAGCTCTGTTCATCTCTTAAAAGTCAGCTCCAGTCAAGGCTTCCCAGGAAGACTTCCTCAACTGCTCCACAGAAGGACTTGCTATTCTGAGTCATGCAAACCACAACTGTGGTGGGAAGAAGGCATGAGAAGGAGAAGCCGAGCGGCACCACAAAAATCCCTGGCTGTGTGCTCCAGGCTGGGCCAGTATCATCTCATTTGCTGCTCACGCGATCTCATACTGGATGCTGCTCTCTCCATGTTATAAGTGAGGAAAGTGACATATACCTGCCTTGCCCAGGGCCACACTTAGTAGAGTCGCAGAGTTAAGACTCAAGTCCGAACTGTTGGAATCAGAAATCAGTGCTCTTAACTCGCACCTGATATATTTCCTCTGGAACACCTGTGTGAGGGCGGCCTTCAGACTAGATGGCCACAGTCTGTTCACGTGCCTGTGTCCTGGTGGCCAGGAGCAGCTTGGGCACAGGGATCCTGCCATTTGTCTTTAGGCTCTGCGTTCTGGTTAGCACTGAGCTTGACTGTTAGTAGGTGGTCAAGAAATGCTTCTTAAATAAAGCACTGAATGGGGGAGTGACAAATTTGCCTGTGTATCCATGATTCTCCTTCACCAGGAGGAACCCAGAAGCAGAATACCTTCCAGTGACCCCCAAGAGCAGGCTTGCCAGAGGTCTACACCCCACACAGAGGAAATAAATACACATTTTTCTAACTCTTTATCATGTTGTAAATAACAATAAAATAATAACTAAAACATACAATGCTCATTACGCATCGGGCATAATTCCAACATATACATGTCTATGGACACAGGG